GTATAACATCAAAGTAATATCACTGCCTGCCTCAGTTGAGTAGAGGCTAATATCCACAAGCTAATGTTACATACTCATTCATATATCATCATAATGAACCAGTGACAATGAAGTTAGTGATTTCCTTGGAGTTTTCTCTTACATTTGTAATTTCCATCCAAACCCTGGATCCTGGAGAAAAGAGTTACCACAATCCCACAGTGAAATTCAATTTTGCTGTGTGATACACATTTTAAAAAAGTCCTACCACTGGGCAGCACCATCAGGAACCCTATCTTACTATAGAAAACCTATATAGGTATACAAGAATATGGTGGTAGTGTCTAACCTTTCATGATTAGGGTCTGTGAACCATTATAGATTATGTTGGGTTGCCATAGATCTATAGACAAATGAGGTGCAATATAACATAAAGAGCATTTTTTATACAAGAAAATGGTCAATATGTTAGTCAATGAAGTTAATATGTCCAATTCTGAAAAATAATGTTAACAGAAGAAAAAGAAAAACATTTTAGCCAATTCAATATCACAGAATTATTTATAAGATAACCAAACTGCCATGTCCAACAATTATAGCAGTCATTTGAATGACAAGAATTTTCTGTTTATCAATTCAAATTTTGATTGCTTCAAATTATTTTTCTTAAAAACAATATCAGTATTACAGTCTTAGTAAAGTGGCTTTTGTACAGAAGTAAGAGAAAGAGTAGACTCCTTTCTATTGTAAGGAATCTATTGTTTCATGTTCATCAATGGTAAAAAATCTTGCAAGATATTGCTGTCATTATTCAAGTCCTTGAATAATTAAGGCAAAGGTTGTGCTAATTTAAGATGCATTTCAATAAATCAATTTCAGGAAAATGCCCAGTATTTTGTAAATTTTTAATTTCTTTAGAAATTGCTGAAGAAAAAAAAAAAGAATCAATTATTTGGAAATTTAAGGAATGGTTGTTAAATGGATAGTTAACTAATTTCACTCAACACTAATTAGTTATAATATTACAGGCAAATTTTGTATAATTCCACTCCCAGATCCATATACAAGATTTTAAATTGGTTAAGTGTGGGAAAAGATTCTGTACTGAGGGAATATTTAACTATGTATAAGGTAAAAAATAGGCAATGCCTATGTTAAAAAGGTGTTAGAAATTTTGAGGAAAGGATGACATTTAATGCTTTGTATGAAAAAGAACTTTGTATGTGTGTAAAACAAGGCAAGTTGAAAAGTGTCAAAAGTGAGATGTGAATTTTGAAAAAACACTCAAAAAGTAGATATTTGGAATTAATACAAAAAATATACAAATATATAAATAGGTTGACAAAATCCAAAATTGCCTAGCACTGCCAGAATATTTAAATGGCTGTTTGTTTCATTTCACTTAATGTGCTGTTACTGGATGATGCAATTGCTGTAAATATGAGATGTACTGGGCCTGAGCTCTTGTATTTGGCTCTCCAGCCAACTGACTAGTAATGTGGTGTTCACTTGAAATTTGGCCATTGTTGATTGCTTTCCCCAGGGGATGGTCAAATGGAGGTAAATAGAAATAAATTAAAATGTAAGGAGAATCTTAGTACTTTTTTGAAGGAGTTCTGACAGCAGCAAAGTAAATCTACCAAGACAAATGGTGCTCATTTATAAGCACAAAGAAAAAACAAAAGTTATTGCAGAATTTCAAACTAAGCCCTTTATTTAGCCCAGTAGATAAAAGCATTGGTTGATTCATTTAAAAAGTGACTTGTCCCAAAGAGTTATGGCCTCTGGAGTAAATACCAAATTACTATAAAGTAGAGTTGGAGGCTTTTATTCATATAGAAGATAAAACATCTGGAACCCCTGAGTATAGTTACTTAGGAAAAATGTGCTTTGAAGATTCGATTAAGCATTAAAAATTATTCATATTCATTCTCTATTATTTTTCAATATATCCAATGGCTAAGGAGATATTTGAGAACAAAGCTGAAAAATCCCAATTTTTAATCTTGTATAATCTGGCAACCCTGAATTTTGCGACAGCATGTCGGAGGATTTTCTAGCCATTACTCACATTGACGCCATTATGTCAGACACGATAAAGAACCAAATTGAGGATAAGGTTATAGCACTTGCAGGATGCATTTTGTCAACCTAAATTTTGCCAAGACCTCTAAGAAATGATGAAGGAATAAATAGAAAGATGCTCAGAAAACTTCATACGACATAAATGAACTAACAACACAAATGCAGGAGCAAAAGCAACTTAGAATGAAATTTTAAATTAAGTAGAGTAAAAGCTAAGAAATTTAATATAAATTTATGAAAGACTTGTTTACAATTCGGTAATTCTATGCATACAATAAATTAACAATATTATCAAATCAGAAGAATGAAAAATTTCAAATGTAATTTAACCTTCAGAGATTTGATAGAATTCACCCCCATGAGATTATTTTTTCATATTATGAATGTTACCGATTTTTAGATTAGTATTTAAATTGCACTGGGCTTATGAAAAGTAAGCAATAATATTTTTTTTCATTAAGTGGAAATATGAAGTGCTGCTACAGGATTGAGAAGTTAAGATGTAAAATGGCCTCTGCAAAGAAAATGGATAGAAAATAATGTTTTTTATTTCCTGGTGGAACAATTTTGAGAGGTGTATGAAATCTTCCCATATGAAGGATGTGCATGTATGTGTATGTTTACCTGTACCATCAAAAAGTGACAGTAAAAATTAACTCATTTTGCAACTGTATGAGGAGGGTTGGTTTCAAAATATCAGTTATTTAAAAGTAAAAGAATTTTTAATTTTTAAACTATAAAGTGTTTAGAAGCCCCCCCCCCCAATTATGCAGTTACCTTTTCTTTTCTAAATCTTCTTTCAAAATATTTGCCCTCTAAACACACAGAAAAAACAAAGAGCTGTCATAGAATTTCCTATTTTTAATAGGAGAAAGTGTTGTAAAGTGGAGGTTAGTAACTATTTATGAAAAGGATGTATTTGATGTAAGCACATTAAAGCAGTAGATCAGTAAGAGTTAATGACGATCTTAGAGAGAAAGGAGAAACTAGCCATAATGACAGGCCTTGCAGTGGCAGGCCTGTTGCTGGCCTGAATAAGGTTAAGACTAATGCTCTCACTGGAAAAGGGTATGCTGTGACTACAGTAAGCAGAAGTTACAAAACAATGCAAAAGCCATTTAGGTGAAGAATGGTAGGTGCCTGTTGTTTAGTACAGACTCTTGGCTACTCAAAGGTTTGTGCAAAATGGGTTCTCAGATAGATGGCGAACTCAATGAAGCAACAGAACATGGTTGCTGGCCAAAGTTTCTGAAGCTGTACAACATGGATATCAGCTTTTCCTCATGAGGAGAATCACAGATGAACTGAGATCTGGTTTCACTGCTATGAGCCAGAAAATCATTAGTGTAGCAACAACCAGAAAGAAGTTTAAGGTTTTTGATTGACAATTTCATAAAACAAATGATTACAAGTCCTTGGATCTTGACCTCAACAGTTTATATTAAAAAAAATAAAAAAGAAAGTTCAAGGTAATTAAATATATTAATCATAGAATATTTGTTAAAAATTTGCATCTTAGAAAAATTTCTTATTAAACTTATTCTATCTTGGCAGATCAAAAAAATGCATTAAAACGAAAAAATACATCTTCAAAACACTACATTTAATTAAAAGGGTCCTCTTTCACATTGAAGAGAATATTACAAGATATATCACTTTTGAGAATCATTTTAAGGAAAATCTGCAAATCCATTTGTAACCCAGAAAAAAAAAATGAATTCAAATGATTTGCATTGAAATTTGCTAGAATTTATGAGCAATACCAAAATGTTTACATTTCTGAAAACTTAAGTTTAAAATTAGCAAAAATATATATTTAAATTATACAAACATTATATAATTATTTATTCAAATTAGTCTAAGAAAGAAGAATATTAGGATTAAAGCACTGGGATTCCACCACCTCCTCATTCTTGTGGATATATATGTTGTTTAAGTGTACATAGTTACTAAGTTGTCAAGCATTCAGTCACTGATTGAAGTAGTAAAAATTATATACTCTGGTCCAGTGAGAAACAATACATGATCTCATGTATGTGCAAATGAATAAGAAGAGTCCAAAATCTGTGGGCTGATTAAAGGATTTGGTTTGAAATTCCCAGAAGAATTCTAACTTAAATAAGGATGGAGGATACAATAGTTGAAATGCTGTGACTAAAACAAGCAAGATGCAGACACCAGTTCTAATAAACTAGTGTAATGATAATTCATCTCATCATCTCAAAAAAAAAAACAAAAACAAAAAAAAATCACACAAAGTATAAACATATTTGTTGGTGGGTGGAGAATATAAAATTGGTTGCTACTGTTGGATTGAGGAGTTCTTCTACGCGGGAATGGAGAGTTTTTGTTTTGTTCACTTTGCATAGCAATAAAAGAAATGGGTCAGAAAGTGAGTATTTAACAAAAACAGACTGGGTAGAGAAATCTTAATTACTTCCATACATTTCCACATAACCATTTAAAAATCCACACAGACAAGCAATTGTAAAACGTTTAAAGATTAGAGGCAGGAATAAAAAGGGAAAGAGGTTTCTGTGATATTGTGGCACTCATTTAGTTCTTAGAGTTAATTATGTGCAAGAATTATGGGAAGGCAGTCAAAGACCTCCAGAGAAGTTGGCTTTGGATTTAAAATCCACAACACTTGAAAGATATAAGGAATTTAAAAAGCTTAAAGAAAAGAAAAAAATAGAATTTAGTCCAAACTTATTTCAACTTGTAAAGCAATGAATTTTTTTTTTTTTTTTTACTTCTAGATACAAAGTGCAGTCTTTTGCTGGCTGCTATTAAAAAGACTTATGGCACTTAGACAAAACTTCATGGTCCACTGCTCAGTAGAGACCTCATTAAATCCAGTATAAGTGGATAAAACCATTAATAGGTGTAGTGGTTTATTGCAAAACTTTAAATTGTAAACATTTCAATAACGGGCGTCACTTGATCTCATTGGCTGTAAATTTTGAACTTGTCATCCGAGTGGGTTCACAATAAGAAAGAAAAACTGAAAAGAAAAAAAATTTCTTTTCTCTTTATTACAGTGTACATACATTGACTACAAAGTTTGTTTTTATGTTTTTTTTTGTTTTTTTTTTTACCAAGGAGCACACACTTGTGTCAGCTGATAAGGGTTGTGATTACTGAGAAATATTAATTCCTTCTTGCCTTCTTCAGTCTTGGCTGAAATAGGAGGAAAAAGCAGAATATTTAAAATACATCAAGTGATAAAGATATGAAAAACAAAGAACTTTAAAATATTTAATTGATGTTTTAGGCCCCTCCCTCTTATATACAATAGAATTGCATGGCTTCACCTTGTGGCATTCTAACTTGATAAGAGGAAGTGTTATAGAAAAACAAAAGAACAATTGATTATAAATTCAAAATTTAAAGATTGAGACATGTTTCTGCATATAAGTATGAACAATAGTATGCAAAAAAATTATCTCTCTCTCTATATATATATATATATATATATATATATATATATATATATATAAGATTTCTAGTTAAAATGCGGCAAGTAAAACAAAGGTTGGAAAAAGGCTAGTGTTCAATATACAAAACGTTACAACTGCTACTGAAATATAAATGTAAACTAAAAACATAAAAGGACTAATGGACTCTCCTCCCCGACCTCAGCAATTGAATTCTTTAAAACATATCTTTTTTTTAAAATCATTTCAACAGATAAAGTCAATTGATCATTTGTGCAAAAAAAAAAAAAAAAAAGAAAAAAGATAAAATTCTAATATATTGACTACATAAATGAATAAAATTTCAGATACAGACCTATTCATTACATTTAGAATTATTGTGATGTACTTCTCAGAAAGTGATAGATAGCCATCAACTTGTAAAGCACTTAGATATTTTGTCCAAGATGAAAATCTGCTTCAAGTATTTGTTATTCTTTGTGCCAATAACACCAATATATTTGGTTTGACATTTCCTCTCTGAACAAAACTTTGTTATGATGAAGCTTAATGTGGCTGCATCTGTTAAAAGTCACAAAATGATTGTTGTTTGCTTGTCCTTAGAATTTCCCACTTAAATTTGAGTTACCTTATAAGGAACCATTTCCTTGTTTTATTAGCAGAGACAGAAAGCAACCGGTTAGTGTTTCAGTTCACACATGATTTATTTTGTAAATTGGATTGTTTGCTTACAGTCATACCATATTTAGTATTTATTATCTTATATTGATTTTGTGACATGAACTAAATATTGTTATAATTTTCTTTAAAGGATTTGTTCTAGATGTTGGTCTATTTTAAGTATTTCTTGCAATAATTAAAAACTTATTGGTACAAAATCAGACTAAAATTCCTCTCAAAGTTTCTGATAGTCAATATAGAAAAACAACATTAAATTCATTATTAGTGCCATCTGTAAAGTCTTGAAAAACATTAAAGTTCCAAGTTGTTTTTTTTTTTTCCTCAATGAATTGAATCCTGGACAGGAGTATTAATTTTTGAGAAAATAAATCAAAAAACTTAAAGGCAATAAAAGTGATAGAAGTGTCATTAGACTAAAAAGTAATTAAAGAAAAAATAAATCAATAAAAGGTCAAAAATTATGATTCAATGTTTAAACATTTATTATTGGGATTTACTCACTGTTGGGTTTTTGTTGACTGTTGGGAGATCTGGAATTTTTAAAATATGTCAAAGACAATCATTTAGTGCTAAGATGCACATTTCTTTTCCACATTATACAATATACACATATTTCAGTTGTTGGCTAACTTTGCAAATAGCTATTTCAACTTGAGTATAGTTTTATTTTCTGAAATTTTAGAAAAAATAATTTATAATCTTAAAATAAAAGCATCGTTTCTTGGACAAGAAAAAGTTTATATTTAGAATTTTGTATGAGACAAAATTGAATATTTGAAGTTTTAATCCGAAACAAAGTCAGTGGTTCTGATTGTCATTTACACAAAACCCAGTTAAAAATAATTTCTTTTACAAGGTTGAAACATTTCCCAGGGGTGCAATCATTTTGAAAAGAGGAAGAGAGAAATACCTAGGGGATGTTGTAACCATAGTCGGTCAATGTAGTAATCCAGGCAGCTGTGAATCTCTTTATCACTGTATTTAGGAATATGAACTGGAATAAAGGGCTCCAACATCTCAAATGCCTAGAGATGAAGAAAAAACAAGAAACAATTGAGAAAGCTCCTACTTGAATTTTAAAAGCCCAACAACAATATCAAGAGAGTAGAAATAATATTAACTTAAGTAAAGCTTATACGTAAATGACAGGGAAATTTCTTTGGAACTTAACTGAGAACTTTTCATCACACATCTCGTATATTTGAGAACTATAATTGAACTTGGTTTACCACACATGCACATTTGAACAACCTAATAGATAATCATATGTAGAGATTTTAACTTTGATAATTAGACTAAAACTTATTCTCTTATCTCTAGGGATTTTTTTTTTTTTTTTATAAAGAAAATATTGGATGCAATAAAAGCTGGTATAAACAAAGAAGGAATTTGTCAGATTTTATATAGTATTTATTTTAAGATATAACATAATGAGCATAATAATATTTGTGAACCTATTGGCTCATTTTAATGTTGATAATAAAGTAGTACACTAGTTGGGGGTGGGAGGAGCAGAGGAAGTAGCTACTTTTTTTCCTCTCACTTCTTATCAAATATGTAACAAGTGAGAGAATAACTGTTTCAACATAATTAGGTTATTAAGAAACAAATACTTCAATCAAGATATTGGAAATTAAGATTTTGTTAAATTAATGACAGGAAGGAGGAAACCATTTATTATTCCCTTAACAATTTCAGTAAACCATTGTTAAGTAAAATCAGTTTTAAAATTAGACAAATGTCTTCTTGGTAAAATACCGTTTTCTTGGAGATTAAGAAAACTTTGAAAATTGCCTGGATTTTTCAATGATATCTCAATGCTGCATAAGTTTGTAGAATTTGAAAATTAAGTAAAAATGAATTGTAGACAAATTTCTAGACAAAAGTTGGTCATTCCATACCTTTTTCTCTAACAGGTAATAAGGTGTACATTTTTCTCGTAAATTTGAGGGGTTGGCAACTTTATCCACAATGCCAATAACCATTCCATTACTCTGGAAAAGAGAATGAAAAATCATCAGTAAAATCATTTAAAAAGTGGCTTGTTTTAATGCAAAATAGAAATGTAAATATGACAATTGCAGTTATAGAAAGTTAAGATTATTTCAGGGTTTGAAAAACTTAAAAAATTATTAGGAAAAAGTTCAATAATTGGCAATGTGGAAATGAAAGCCATTGGAAGAAATACCAACTTACCCAATCATTTCGCAGCAGTTTCCTAAAATTATAGAAAAGGGTCATCTTATCCGTTGATAACTGGATACAGAAACAAAAAATATCTTAGTTTTAAAACAGTTCAGAATAATTAGAAAAACAAATACTGAAGGGAAACATTTACAAATAAAATAAGTTCCACAAAGCATGAAAAAGTTTACAAGTCAAGCATTAAACTTGCTAAGAAGTAAATTTAAAACCATTCAAATTGATTTTGAGGCCAAATTAAAGAAGTCAAATATAAAACAAGTTTGACCATATTTGCTTCTTAAAAATCCTTTGGTTTTCACTGTGGGTTTTGGTATATTAATCAGAGATTGAACACTGGCCATTGATACTGGTAGGAGGTACAGAATGACCTTAGCTGAGAAGCAGGTTCTTGGTATCAAAGTGTTAAAACAAATATAGATTAAAAGTACTTAATGAATATTTGCAAAAATTTCAGTTTATATATAAGTGTTTAACACAAAAAATATTAATTAACAATAATTTATAAATAAAAAAAAAAAAACAAAAAAAAATTTTTTTTTACTTTTTCCAAACTAAAAATTTGATAATTGCAAGATACAAGTGATCTCTTAATTATTTACTGGCATAAAGTTGTTAACAAGTATATTCAGAAGTTTATAAAGGAAACATACATCTAGAGTTCAGAGGATAATTAAAATAAGTATTAATTATTATTATATTTTTAAATAAATTTTTATAACAAATTTAATATCTAAAGTAATAAATCAAAATTGATCACTAATCAAATACTGGCTTACATATTTTTTGTTTTCGTCCTTGACATTAGTGTCTCCCCACAATCCATTTAGGCCATCCACTGCAAACAAAACTCGATATCTACAAAAGAGAAATTTCTTTATTCATATATAAAAAGATCAATATATGTGATCAATTTTTAAAAAGTTGAGTTATATTGTAAATTAAACAATTTCTGATTTGATTCTATTCAATTGAACTAAATGAGAATGGAATTTCAAAGTGTAACACATTAAGAGAATCTTTAGTAACATAACCAAGTAAGATTACCCTAAAGAAAACTAGACAAGGGACAACCCCCCCCAAAAAAAAAGGAATGAATGACATGATGAAAAGGAAACCACAAACAAAATATGGTACACAATACAGAGCATTAGACAAAGTAATTAGAAACAAATGCAGGCAAAAGAGGGTATGGCTCAATGAAAAGCATGTTGAAATAGAATGATCATTGCAGATATACATAAGAAAATAAGAAAAATAACAGGACAAAAGATGTGCTTCATTGACAGTTAGTAAATCAGTCATGTGTCATGCGTGATACATGCTTAGGCTGACGAGGCAGATTTTTTCCCGCAGTAGGTTGCCATTTCTTTCTGCGGTAGACCAATTGCTATCCAAGGCTATAGAACCCAGTCTGTCCTGCTATTTACCCATAGCTGGGGGGAAGAAGAAGAGGATTCATACCTTTTCCCAAGGGTATTAGCACATAAATGGAACAAATTTGGTAAATAAAATTTTGACTAATTTTCATTGACCAAACTAAAAATTAATATTTATATGCACACCTTTGTGGATTTCCAAATATAGCACTTAGATTACTTCACTAGCCCTAAAGTGATAAAGATATTTGACTCCCTTTCCTTCTCCCTCGTAACACTTCGCCAGTAACTCTGTGTTTTCTGTTTTGTAGGCCACAATTGTTTATCCTGTATATATTTTATGTTGTATTTTAGTAAATTAAATATTTGTTTGTGATTTAGCTCTGTGTTGTGATAAATCATTTTTTTTCCCTTTTGTTACAAGTATCAACACGTAACGAACAGGAATAAAGCAACCAGATGGAATTGTAACAGATGCTGGCAGTCTTGGATGGTGCTGGCATTGACAAAATTACAGACAGACATAAATTATATACCAGTAATATACTGGAAGACTTAAGTACATCCATTATCGTAGTGCCACCTAAGAAACCAGATACAAATGAATATGAATTCCATTGGACAATCAGCCTAATGAGTCACATGGTGAAACTTATCCAATACAATAGAGGGAGCTGTAGAATTAGACAAGAACAGTGTGATTTTGTTAACAACACTGGAACAAGGAATACAATATTTATGCTTAGAGTAATTATCAGAAAGAGCAAATATAACAGCAAAAGAATGTATACATGTATATTATAGATTATGCAAATGCATTTGATAAAATATGTCACAAAAAAACTGTTTGAACTGCTAGGTAGGTTTGATTTATTTGGGAAAGATATTAAAATAATACAGAACTTATACTGTTACAAACCACCTGCATATGGATAGAAAAAGGAATTTAGTAAATGTACAAAAATAGAAAGGGGCATAAGACAAAGATGTGTCTTTGCACTGGATATATTCAAACTTTACAGTCAGATGATCCTAAGAGAATTAGAAGTCCTACCATGAAACATTAGCAGACACAATCTTAATATAAGATATGCAGATGATATTGTGTTGATAACAGACATAGAAAGGAAACTACATTCAAGCCCAATACATAAGAGCCATCTTCTAACCAGTCATCCAAATACACGTCAATGAGATGACATGCTTAGCACACCACGATTCAGACTGCGCTTGTACTCTAGTTAGGAGAACAAATTTTCTGTAATTATGGAATTGCAAAATCATTAATCTTAAACAGAATCTAGGTTTTTAATGCAATTTTCAATAATAAATCACAAATTAATTGTTTGATTTTTCAGATTTTTTTTTTAATCTTTCAAAATTTAACTCTCTCCGATTTTGTTAAGCTTTTTAATAAATATAACAAAAACATAACGTAATTATTACCTTAAAATTTGTTTTTACAAAATATTTGTAGTTATTTTCCTTATAAAACCCAAAAAATAATTAAGAGCAAAAATGTTTATATAAAAAAAAAAAGTGGATTGTTGATTTTCTTAGAATATATTGGATAGTCTATTTTTTAAATATTTTAAAACTTTTCTAAGAAACTATGTAGCAAACAAGATGAAAGTCAGAAGGTCACAGCTGGCTTGGCTGTGGACACTGGGATCCATTGCTAAAGTGGAAATGGAAGACAGACATTAGTTGCTCTCAAAATTGGTGGGGGAGAGAGAGAGAGAGAGATGAAGATCAAACCAATGTTTAAGAAATTCATTTCCTTTAAGGCTTCACACAATTTACAAGTAAAAGATTCTAAACAACTTGTTTTATGAATATGAAAGTAAAGTAAATGCTATCACGTGCCTACCATACAATTTAGAAAAAAAAAAAAATTCTCCCAAAACACCATTCTATGAAATGACTGGCTTGTTTAAGCTTACCGTCACACAGCAATTCTCCTGGATTAATAATTGCATCATCTTCAGTGCTTCACTATTGTAAACAAATTTAAATTGAACAAAAAAAAAAAAAAATTCCTTTAATAATATCAACTATCAATGATTATTTTTTCATATTTTATTTATATCTTGTGATCTAAATCAGTTGTATGAATAAACAACAAATTGCCAACATGACTGAATAAAGTTAATATAGTGAATCAACCGCTAAAGTTGGGTCTGCTATAAAAAAAAAAACAAAAGAAAAAGAAAAAAGAAAATAACCTCAGTATCTAAAATTTGTGCTAAAGCCAGAGTAGAACAATTTCCTGATAACATTTATGCAGAAGAAAATGTTATTTTTCAAATTCTGTCTCCATAGTGTTGATATAGGGTTGACACAATCAAAGATCACATTCAAATCAAAAACTCATCTTTTGACAAGAAAAGTCTTAAAAGTCAGTTTAACTGAAACAGAAGACAATCACAACTTTGTTGAAGAGTAAAGAGGTATGAGATGATTTTGTCCTTGATTTTTTGAAAATGTGCACTTCGTCTGACATTCCCCTACACAAAATTGACAAAATGAAGTTATTCATATTAAAACATTGTAAAGGTGGTGCTATTCCAATTGTCGATTGTGTTAGGCAACTTCATCTACCAAAATTGTTTGCTTGTCATTTTGCTGCCCTGAAAGCCAAGCTTGATAATCAATCAATCAGCATCATAATTGATGAAACAACTTGCTATCATGACTACAGCATTTTAAATGTAATTGTAAGCATTTGTGGGGAGTCATTTCTCATTGATGTTGTAACCTTGAGAGAACGCAATCATCAAACTGTAAGTCAGACATGAATCCAAGCTTTAACTCATGTGGATATTGCATTTAAAGATATTATTGCCTTTGTAACAGATTTTGCAGCCTATTGTGAAAAAGGAAATGTTGTCAAATGTCTTTGTTAACAGTTGCCATGTGTTGTGCTTAGCACACATTTTGAATCTTGTTGGTGAAGTATTTTCACACTGGTCAGCATTTTATAATGTTACCCAGCTCACTACTTTCATCAAGTCAGCCTTTTTAAAAAAGACCAGTCAGAAAAAGTGATACTTAAAATGGCTTGAAGGTTCCTTGCCTAAGGAACAAGTGAAGCTACCCCCTGTACCAATGGCAATCAGATGGAATTCCTGGTTTAAAGTGGCCAAATATCACTTATAAGCAAGAAAAGAGCTATGGCCATGGAGTAGAAAAGATTCTAGAATTAGTAGATGATGGTCAACTACATCATGCCTCTTACCACAATTTGTGTCTAAAACTGCATTTTATAAATGATGACAGCACTTGTTTAATAACAGCTTTGAAAAACTAAGTCTCTGCTTGCATGTGTTGTATATAACATGATGGAGGATGAAAAATAGTATTTGCATATTGGTACATCAAACTCAACATTTGGCCTAGAAACTGACTGTCTTCTGTCTGAACAAGAAAACACAAAGAGGGAGAGAGTTATCTCAAATTTCCAAGATTTTTTCAGAACATCTTTTTGAAACTGAATAAATACCTGGATACCCACCCTGTGTATAACCTTTACAAGACAGATCACCTGTTTGATCCTAGACAGCTACCCTGTATAGGCCATGATTTAGGCAGTTTTACAGCCATCAAGGACTTGCAATGTCTTTCTACTGATCTTCTTGAAGAATTCCAAATGTATGTAAATTACCAAGATGATTTCCCAAATCCTTTTAATATCCCATCATGCAAATAAGAGCAGATTTCCTCTTCTGCAACAGATTGCCAATAAGGTCATATAGATGCTGAATGTTTATTTTCTCAGTATAAACATTTACTCAATAAGCAACATGAAAGTCTTACCCCTGAGAACACCAAGCAACTCAAAGTGTATTACAATGGAGACGAGATTTGAAAATTAAATATTTCCCAAATTAAGAAATTAGCAATTTTAAATTTGAGCAGTATTTCAACTTGGGATAAGTTGTTTTATTTAAATTTTGAATTAATGTCTAATTTTTTGATATTTTGTTACAAAGATTCAGTTATTATGGCTTAATTACTGTTTTGTAAAATTTTAGTCAAAATGTTTGACTTTATTCAGATTATTTATTGTTGGGATTCAAGTTATTTGCTGTTGATACTTTAAATGTGATTTTTATATTATGAATCAATAATTATAAATCAGTCTAAATACTTTTACTTAAAAAAAAATAAATAAAAACAATTTGAATGTGTTTTGAATTTGTTCTTAAAGAAGAAAGCTCTGAATAAAAGTTCTATCTCAAAGATATGCACAGTAACATTCCATTGTTTTATTGTCCATTCATGTTATATTTCTTTATTTTTGGATTTGGATTTTAACATTTAAAAAAGATTTGTAGATATTTGCTATTTCTTTACATGCAATAAAACTTTGAATTATATTTTTTGTTTTCAGTTTTAATAATTATTATAGCTTATTGTATTGCAATTTTATCATAAAATACTATAAAAATAGTCATATTTCCGTATAATCCTGGTCTG